TATTCGTGACAATTACGGATCACCGAACCATAGATAGCAGTAGGAAAATCAACATTAATTAATTTGTTAGACTAATTAACATTAACATCCAATGAAAATATGCACAATTCAAGAACCAATGAATACTTGAATTAAAAAGCAAGATCTTAAATTAAATACAGAACCTCAAAATGGCACAATCGAACCTCCCCCCTTGAACCAGAAAGAGAAAGCTTAGTTGTTCATGATCTTCAAACTCTCCATGCTATGCTTCTTAGTGGCCGAATTACTCTCTTGGTAGCTTGAGTTGCTTGATGATCTCTTGGATCCTTGGATTGAGTGATGCTAGAGTTGGTCCGCCCCCCCTAAACTTAATCCTATCTTATCTCTTATCTAGTGATCTAATCCAATCTTCTTATCTTTATAGGATTACATTCAAGAATTTAAATCTAATAAGACTCTCTTTCTGGAGACTACATTCGAAATTGGGACTTTAGGCTCTTGAATTCGAGTTGGGCTGCTTTAAAACTTGGGTTGCTACAAGGCTCTTCTGCGAGTTGGGCTTCAGCTGTGAAATGGGCATGGCTGCGAACTTGCTCCGAGTTCGGGCCCAGTTTCGTATTCGATGCGGACCGATCCTGTAAAAACCTAAAACATAAAAGTTGTGGGCCTTTCTTTCATCTTTCTGATGCCTCTTTGATTGTCCAATTCAGAGTCCATAATTGAGAGTTATGCCCAGATTACTGACTATTGCCGAAACTGTGCAAAATCATCCGAATTGCCCTGTTTTTTTCCAATTGCCTTCTTTCTTGCCCTGAATCGAAATACAAGAGTAATGAGTCCATTTAAGTGCTAAATAAATGTAAAATAGTAAATATTAGGGGATAAAAATAGGGTACTTTTTAGTCTCATCAGGTTGCTGCTGCTCCAACTCCAATACTAGTCCCGATCTTCCAACCATCGTTAAACACATTAAAATTGGAGCCCTTCTGCTTCAAGTAAGAAGAGGAAGACCTGTCACCGCCGACCCTGATATCGAAATTCCGCCTCTCCTCGGGCCTCTTGGCAGTGAAGGAATTCCCCCAAATCGAATCATTAAGCAAGAGATTAGCCAAGTTTGATGACTGTAGCCGAAGTTGATCGCTAAATTGCAAGAAAGATTGCTGATTGTTATCCATATTTCTTGTGTGATGAATCTAAGAGACTACGCTGGTAATCTTATTCTATGCAACCACTATAAGATAGGGAGAGTAACAGATTCACGAAATTGGGATACTTAGCTGTCGGCGGAATCCTCATGTTCTACTAGATTCGTTGAAGCCTCCACCATTTTGGCATCATGTTTTGGTTTTCCGTCGTTTCTCGGTGGTTTCATTCTGTTTTCGGCATCCGGTAACAGATCGGAATCTTTTTTGTTCTGTGAACTCAGATCAGACGAGTTGCAGAGGTCATCCATTCACACTAAAACAGAGATCTTTTCTTTCTCTCCGTTCATCCACCGCATCAAGATCAGGTCCAAGATCCGCCGACCGCCGATCTTTCTTGCTCTATTTTTGCGGTTACGTTTGATTCAGAGGGTCTCAATCTCGACATATTCCGTAAATTCACTATTGATTTCTATTTCCTTAAAATCATTGTTACCCGTCATCCTTTCTTGAGCTGTCTTCATTTTTTCTTTGGTAAGAATTCAGAGCCTGGCTTCGCTTGATTCAAGTTTTCTGTTGATCATGTCAAGTTTGTCGTCAATAGTGGAACTCTCACCTTTGTTGGATCTTGCTTCATCATATTACCTTCATCATTCGGATCATCATGGATCGGTCACTGTCTCGCCAGAACTTACAAGCTCTAATTACGCTTCATGGAGCAAATCTTTCCTTCTAGCCTTGTCAATCAGAAACAAAACCGGTTTTGTGGATGGAACCATTAAAGAACTTGCTCTGGATGATGCTCTTCACAATGCTTGGATGAGATGCAACAACTTAATTGTTGCATGGCTTCTTCGTTCAATTTCTCCTCCAATAGCATCCACTGTGTTCTATATCAGTTCGGCATCACAGATATGGGAGACCTTGAAGAAGAGATTTTCACAACCAGATGATTCAAAAATTTGTAATTTGCAGTTGTCACTCAGTACAATTACTCAAGGAACAAGAATTGTTGATGCCTATTTCACTGAATTGACGGGAATATGGGAAGAATTAAGGAGCTATCGACCTCTGCCTCATTGCCAGTGTGGAAGATGTAACAAGGACTGTTTCAAGATTTTTTCTGAAGCGCAACAAAAGGAGTATGTGTTCAAATTCATTAATGGATTAAAAACAAAAGGATGAATGTTTCTCCCTTACCTGAAATCAGTACGATGACAATCAATTCTGGAAATCAGAAGAAGAAGTCAAGTGTTACCTGCAGTCATTGCGGTAAAAATGGTCACTCAAAGGATAAATGCTATAGGATAATAGGTTTTCCTCCCAATTTCAAATTTACTAAAGGAAAATTTGCAACTGGTGGTACACCTTCTGTTAATAGTGTGACTCAAGGCACTGGCATTCTGTCAAATGTTTTTGAGACATCACCAGCATTGTCACTCACTACTGAACAGACAAGAAGGTTGCTGACTCTTCTCAATGGTTGTGACACTCATAGCAGCCCTATTTCTCAACCAGAACCTCCAAGCAATACTGCCTTTGTAGTTATATTAGATCATACACATTCTATTAACTCTCATTGCTCTTCATCTCATTTGTCTCCCACTGATATATGGATTGTAGACACAGGAGCCACTGACCATATTGCTAATTCTCTCAAATACTTTGATTCTTACACCACTATTCATGGTTTGTTTGTCACTCTGCCAAATGGAACTAAGGTTCAAGCCGCACATATTGGAACAATTCCACCGACTTTTGCTATTATTCTGAATGATGTGCTTTTTGTCCCTTCCTTTTCATTCAATCTTATTTCGGTCCAAAAACTTGCCAAGGATTCTAATTCTTCTGTTATCTTCACTGCTGTGTTTTAGATGATCAATCTTCAAGGATAATGATTGATCTAGCTAAAGCAAAATCTGGCCTCTATCTTCTTCAACCATCATTCAAGTCTAGATGTCAATTTTTCTCCTGCTTCAACACTTCTGCTACTACATAGTCTACTACTCCTTTTCATCTGTGTCATTTTAGGCTAGGGCATAGTTCTAAAGATGTAATAAATAAGATACATCAATGTAATAATGATGTTTGCCCTGCTGACTTTACAAACTGCCATATTTGTCTTCTTGCTAAGTAAAGGAGGCTTCCCTTTCCCCTTCATGTCAAGAACACTGTATCTCCTTTTGAACTCATTCATATGGATATATGGGGACCATATTCTACTGCAGCTATTGGTGGTTATCACTATTTCCTTACTATTGTTGATGATTTCACTAGATTTACTTGGATATTCTTAACGAGAGCAAAGTCTGATGTTATTTCCATTATTCCAGTATTCTACAATATGGTTAGTACTCTGTTTAATTACTCTATCAAACAGATTCGTACAGATAATGGACCCGAGTTTAATCTCTATGAATTCTATTCCTCTAAGGGTATTGTGCATCAATTATCCTATGTTGGTACCCCACAACAAAATGCCATTGTTGAACGTAAACATCAACATTTATTGGTTGTTGCCAAGTCCTTAATGTTTCAAGCTTCCATGCCAATGAAATTCTGGGGAACAACAGTTCTAACTGCTGCATATATCATTAACAGACTTCCAACTGTTGTTCTGAATAATCTTACACCATTTGAGTGTTTGTTTCATAAAGCTCCCTAGTGTGGCCATTTCAGAGTTTATGGCTCATTATGTTTTGCCAGCACTTTACAACATAATAGAAAGAAATTCCATCCAAGAGCCATAAAATGTGTTTTTGTAGGATATCCCAATGGGATGAAGGGATAGAAACTCTATAATCTTGATGATCATTCTATTTTCATCTCTAGAGATGTAGTATTTTTTGAATCGGATTTTCCCTTTTCTTCATCCTCTGCTACATCCTCTATGCATACTCATGATGCACAATCCTCCTTATTTGACTTCTCTGCCATTCATCCTTTACCACAACCTCAAATTCCTGCCGACAATGTTTCTTCCCCATTAGCTTCTGTTCCTTCCAATCCTAACTCATCCACTCCTGTGTCTGATAATTTTCCTACTTCTCCTGTTGATGCACATCCCCCTGCTGCTTCTCATCTATAGCTAGAGGTTTGTTCTGATTCTGTGCCTCTAAAAAGGAGTACAAGAGTGACAACCACCACAGTATCTAGCTGCATATCATCATGACTTACCTGCTAAATCATCCCATCTGTTTACAACACATCCAATTCAGAATTTCCTCTCAACATCCCAACTTTTTAATTCACATTCTGCTTTTACTACTGCTTTATCTCTTCTTGATGAACCAAAATCCTATTCTCAAGCTAAGGATCACAGCCATTGGCAAGAAGCCATGCGAGCTGAATTGCTTGCCTTGGAAGAGAACAACACTTGGTCAATTGTTCCCTTACCTTTAGATCAGCATGCAGTGGGTTGCAAATGGGTATACAAGGTGAAGTTAGAATCTGATAGAAGCATAGAGAGACGTTAAGCTAGATTGGTGGCTAAAGGGTATAGCCAACAAGAAGGATTTGATTATCAAGAGACTTTTAGCCCTGTTGCAAAACAAACTACTGTGAGGGTGTTTCTTGTTTTGGCAGCTCATTTTGGTTGGTATCTAACTCAACTTGATATTAACAACGCTTTCGTATATGGTGATTTGGAGGAAGATGTTTATATGGATCTTCCTTTGGGCTATGCTGTTGATAAACCTCCTCATTGTCCAGTAGGATCCAGACTAGTGTGCAAACTAAATAAATCATTGTATGGTCTTAAACAAGCATCAAGACAATGGAACACTAAATTTTCTGCAGTATTGTTTGAGTATGGTTTTGTTCAATCAAAGGTTGATTACTCTCTGTTTACGAGGTCTACTACTGAAGGATTTATTGCATTATTAGTTTATGTTGATGACATTGCTATAGCTAGTAACTCCACTACACTCATTGCTGATATCAAAATGTTCCTTAGCTCCAAGTTTAAACTTAAGGATCTGGGTTCATTGAAGTACTTCTTAGGTCTTGAAATTGCAAGATCTGACAAGGGAATTGTAGTCTACCAAAGAAAATATGTGTTGGACCTGCTGAATGACCATGGGAAATTAGGCTGCAAACCTGTCTCTACTCCCATTGATCATAATCATAAGTTGGCCAAGGATAATGGTACTCTTCTTACTGATGCTTCATATTACAGACAATTGGTTGGGAAGTTGATTTATGTCAATTTCACTCGTCCCGACATCTCTTATGTTGTGCAGATTTTATCTCAATACATGGATAAACCTACTAATCTTCACTTACAAACTGCACATCGTGTGTTGAGATACTTGAAATCTTCCCCTGGAGTTGGCCTTTTCTTTTTTGTAGGTTCTTCTACACAGTTGAGGGCTTTCTCTGACAGTGACTGGGTTGGTTGCCCAGATACAAGGAGATCCATTTCTGGCTTCTGTATTTTCTTGGGTGATTCTTTGATCACATGAAAGTCTAAGAAGTAGAATTTGGTGGCATGAAGTTCAACTGAGGCAGAGTATCGCGCTATTACGCCCAATACTTGTGAATTGATGTGGCTTTCTTCTTTGCTCATTGATTTTCGCATTACAGTTTCATTACCTATCTCGTTACACTGTGATAATCATTCTGTGATTTATCTTTCTCATAATCATGTGTTTCACGAGCGGAGTAAACACATTGAGGTGGATTGTCATTTTGTCCGAGATCAAGTTCAAAGTGGTTTTCTACATTTACTGTATTTGCCTTCTTCTGATCAGGTGGCAGATGCGTTCACCAAGGCCTTGCAACCTTCACATTTTCAGCGCTTAATAGGCAAGATGAACATGCTCAATATCCATATTCATCTTGAGGGGGGGGGGGGTAATACAAATTGTAATTAAAAAATTAGTTACATCTGCTGAGCTGGAGAGTTGGTTACAATAACTAACTTCTCTCTATATATATGGTTGTATATCTAAGATGGAATGAACAAGAAAGAAAGAAATCTTTCTCTCAAGTTTTCATGCTTGTTTTCCTGCTCTCTATTATTCTTCATCTCTGTTACCAGTTGCCATAGGTGTGTTTTTCTTTAATTGGCAGTAGAAGCTTCCATTTGATTGATGCTTAGAAATTTCTATTTCCATGAAAATAGAAACACCCATGCAATAATATTTTACTATTTTTTTTAATCTACTTTCAGAAACACTCAACTCAAACCTTCTTGATGTATGCATTGCTATACTTGAAATTGCATTCACAATCTCACATATTCCTTCAGCATTGACCTTTGCTAAAACTTTCTCATCATTGTTCAAAACCAGCTCACTAAGGTGTGCAGCCATAGCTAATTTAGTTTTAGGGGAACCTGCATTAATTCTCTTTGTGGCAAGGTTACAAGGAAAAGTAATAAAGAGCAAGGGAAAATATCCACACCATTAACACATGATAATAATTGAATTGGTTAGTTTGAAGGTTCTTTGTAACCAGTTTCCAACCATTGAAAATTTGGTCTATGCACACCATTCAACTTGGACAGCTCTTAGGAAACAAGATGAATTTCTTTATCAGCATTCTAAGAGAATATACGATTTAGTCATAGAGAATGACATTGCTAATAGGTAAGGAAGGTCTGAGCACAGCATCTTAATCTAACATTGGTTATATATCTTTTTCAATTAGAGAAAAAATGCACATCCTGTTAAAAACAAGTCATTTTTCCCATTTTCAATAGAGAAGCAATTGTTGAGAGAGAGAGAGAGAGAGAGAGCCATCTATCGCACATTGTTCTCACACTTCCCCAGGTTGTCCATTGTTTTTTTTTTTTTTTTTTACCTTTCCCAATTATTATAAGAATCTCAACATTAACAACACCAATCTTTTCGCACATAGTTTCAGATTTTGAGAGCTAATAAAGCAGAGACACAACACCAATCTTTTCCAACTATCTAATAGTGATGAAGACCTAGTAAAGCAAGAATGCCCCTTTAAAAAGGAATCCAACAAACCCAAATCACCTTTACACTGTTCAGGAAAGGCACATTGTAGCTTAAATGATCGTTGTCTTTCATGGGCTACGAGAAGAGGTAATGGAGTGTGTCAAGTTTCACTAGTGGCTCATCTTTTGTTAGAGGCCAATGTAGGAACTGATAGAACCTTGCAGGTATGAGAACGTATCCAAGGGTTACGGATTCATCCTCTTCAAGCACCATAGTGAAGCCCTTGGACTTGAAGTGGGACAAAGCCTTGTATATCCACTAGAAGGCACTCTCCTCTATTTTCTCTACTGAATAAGAAGCCCCTAGACTTGAAGGAAAGGAGGAGCTGCCAGAGCAGGACAATGTGTGGGTGTGACCAGAATGATGTCGGAGAAAGAGACAGAGATGGAGATGGATTGGACTTGGACAATTTGTCAGAAAGGGTATTTTAGAAATTTTTAGAAAATATATTAGTCACATGTAACGGAGTGCAATGGAAAGTTAATGAGAGAAGAGGTTTTAGACAATTGTAAAAAATTTAGGGGTATTTTAAGATAATAGTTAAACAATAAGGATAAAGTTAGTCAAAGTTATTGGTTTGGTTTTGGTTAACCAATATAAAAAACCAGCAGTTAACCGAGTAGACTATTATATATTATTTATATATATTATACGGGAAAATCTATGATGTGGAAAAGATATGGTATGAGAAGAGTTTTGACCAATCAAAATCCACCCGTGAATTTTGATAAATAACATCTGATTGGCTACAATGTTTATAATTCCAATTGACTGAAGTTTTTCAGATCTCATATCTTTTTCATATCATAGTCTAACCCATATTATACATATATATTATTATTTATAATATATAATATATTATTTATAATATAATATTTTTATATGTATTTCTAATTTATAATATATTTTATAAAGTAAAAAAAACCGAAAAAACCGACAACCCAAACTGACGATCGGTTACGATTAACAGGTTTTTGGAAAACCGGTACTACGCCCACGGTGAGCACCCCTACTTTCCGGACTCGTGTAACGGCACTAGCGCCCATCGTTTCCTCGATTTTCGGTGGAACAGACGCTCTCTTTGGGAATTGACACGATCCATCTTGTTCTCACACTTCCCACGCTTCTCTCATTTGCAAGCGTAAGCATGCAAAACTTTATCCCCAAATAAGCGCGAAGCTCAGGCATTTCCAAGGCTTGCTGTAATTGAAATTGGAGCACGAAGAATCCAGCAAGAGAATCATTTGCTCTGCAACACTTTCCCTTTAACAGGTTCAAAATCTATTCCTCTCCCTCATGTTTTCTTCTTGATTTCAATTTTTTTCTATGCACATACAATTTCCCCAGTGCTCAACATCTCTTCCATTCTACAACTGAATATCTCAAGTTGAACCGATCTCGCTCAGAATTTGAGTTCATCTGATGCTTGGCTTGGTATGAGATTTTGACATTTACAGTTTTATTCTCTTATGTCTTATGGTCTTTTGGTAATGGGAATGATAAAGTCTATGGTTTTTTAAAATCACAAGTTTTAGCCTGAAAATTCTTTAATTTGATGCTGAATTTAGACTTTATTTACAGATCTAACTGAGTGCTGACTATAATCATTACGGAATACACATTTAAGTCTTGTATATCTTGCTGTGGCTAAAGAGAGATCAATCCAATATGGAGGCTACCTTAACACTAGGAGCCTTCTTTTCTGTTGTAGTTTGATATTGGCCTTTGAGATTCTGGTAGGTGCAGCTGTATATTCTTGCATACCATTCCTAATAAAACCTACAAGAATCAAGAATGTATGATTTCAGAATAAAATGAACCTTGTTACTTTACTGCTCAAATGGACTTTGTGGCATCACAAGTTATAAAAATAACTAATAACTCCAAAAGCTTGTTCTATATGATAGGCGAGGACCACTTTGCTTGTATGGGATGTGAAAAGAAAAATAATTAGAAGAGGAAGTTGTACTATTATTCATTTAGTAAGAAGTATTTATGTTTATCTAAGTGTTTACTAGATTTTTTGTTAATTGACCGACCATTATCTATTTAGAAAGAAATCATTTCTATTCTTTTCTTCATTCTACTTTCTGTTTTTCAACTTATAGCATTCTGCCTTAATGTGCCCTTTCTTTTGACAATAGTTGCAGGTCAAGCTCTTATGTCTAGATTTTGATATAGATTTCGATTTACTATTTGAGCCCTTATCCTTAGACTTCTCTCTAGCAAACAACCCAGAGTCTTGACTATTGCCCCTATTTGCAGTCAGGTCTTTATCAATCACCTCTTTATCAAGTAATGGTGTGAGAAGGAAAGATGGCTATAGTTTTTCTAGTGGAAGAGGTCTTGCTTTGGTTCAAGTGCTTTCTGGTAGGGGCCTGCAATTCTTTCAAAGTGCATGAATGGAAGATCTTGTGAAGTTCTGGGAAAACATACATAGTGGAAACAATAAACAATAGGAAGGGTTGGTTTATTGCGTTGGCAGAATGGTTTGGGAAAGACAGGAAGCAGTTGATATGTCTTCCAATGGGAAAATAGAGAAGAGGGTGGAATATAATTTTGGACAATCTACAGGGCTTCCAGATAAGGGGAAAGAAGGAGGATGGTTCAAAATGCCAACAGACGAAACAGGTTTCAGTTCAAGAGAAACAAATGAAGCATATGAAACAACCTCTGGTTGTGGTTAAAACTTCACTCTTGGTGGAAGAGAAGGAACAAAAAATTCAACTATCCTACTGTATCAAATCTCCCAAGGACAGAACGACTGCCTCGAGAGGCCTCTGGCCTCTGGAGCAAAATATTTATTGTGGAAGTTAATAAACCAATAGGTGATTGGAAGAAGGTTGCTGAAGCCATTAAAAGGAAGTTGAATATCGAGGGTAGTCTCACGATCTTTCCATTCTGTGACCAAAAGGCCATCTTCGATACCCTGAACCCTCTGAGAGTTTTTTATGTGACTCAGATTCAAATTGAACAAGGTTATCTGTGTGTTCAAAGATGGAGCCCTGCCACCAACTCAGTTGTACTGGCAGAAAATCCTAGGGTGAAAATTGTCGGGGCTGCATTCCACCTCTGGTTTGTTTCAAACTTCAAGAAGATTGCTTAGCTGTGCGGTGGTGTGCTCAGAGAACTTAACTGCTCAAACCTTCGAGCAACTTCGTTCAAGCTGGTGGAGGTTAAGCCAAAAAACGTCCATTGAATGGTTGAATTTATGGTGGATGGAACAGTTTATGAAACTTGGATCCTTACAGACCTGGAGTCCAAGCTTTGGAAGGAAGTAAAGGAAGAAGATGATAAGGTGGCATTGGGTGGATTGTGTGGAAGACCCTGGTTGGCTGAGGCAAGTGAGCAGTCGAATACAGGAAGCTCAACCGTCTGGGTCTGAATTAGGAAAAGGAGGGCTGTGGATTACTAATTTCTCTATGCAAGCTGGACCATCAAGTTTGATCGTAGGGTCAGGTTTAAATCGTATGCAGAGATAGTGTCAGACCAATTTGACATCCACAGAAAGGAAATTCTTGAAGCGGGAAAAGGAAAAGGGTTGGTTGAACCTGAAGATCCTTTGATTGAACCGGGAGAAGACAAAAATAAGGCTGTAGTTTGGGTAAAAATACTGAATACTGTCGAACTGGGGTCGGCCAAAGCAGGTGATCACTTAAGTGATCATGTGATCCCTCTTATTTCTATAACAGGGGTATATCTTTGATGTAGGCGCTCATTACTAACTCCAGGCAGGTTCAAGTATAAATATGTGGCATCACAATGAGGTAAGACATCTTGGCATTTATTGCTCTCAGCTCTTTAGCTTCCTGGTGACCTTGTCTGAGCTATCCTACTCAGGCCTCGTCCTACCCTCTTTGTTACGCCCTTGCTAACTTGACCGTCAGAGTCTCTGCCCTTGGGATAACACCCGGGGCCTCTGACGTGCTACTTCCTCTACAGGTCGGACTTACAGGCCCTCATCTCTATCAGCCCTCAGACTCATCAGCCAGCCCTCATCTCGGAAGTATATTTACATTGTTGCCCTTGACCCATTCCAGGTAGCAACAATCTTCATCCCCTATAACGTCTTCTTCGAAGCAACAAGGACTGAAGGAACCCCCCTCAGATGATGGTAGGAAAAAAAAGCTCAATCTTGGAGCTTCTTATTTCATGCGGATACCGGTGCAGTCAGAAAACTCTACTACACCTAATAAACCAAATCTGAGGTACTTCAGGGAACCTAGATAAGATTTGGATGAGGACAGCGACTGGGAGGACGCACAAGGCTTTGAAAATGAAGAAAATGAAGAAGTTGCAGAGTTAAACCAACCTTCAAGTGTTGAAAGCATAGACTCCCTAAATGCTTGCAATTTCTTTGATGAAGATTGCTTGGGAACCGAGATTTTGTTTGAGGATCAGTTTGCGGAAAGAACAGTCAAGTTAGTAACGGAAGCTGAGAGAGAAAAGCTCACCCCTCTCTGTTGGTAGGTCATCCTTTATTATTGTTTAACAAGGGTTGACATTTCATTTGCTGTTAGTGTGGTTATCCAGTTTATGCATAAGCCAAAACTCCTTATATGCAAGTTGTGGACAGAATTCTATGCTCCTTAAAGGGATGCTTTGGAAAGGGGGTATTATACTCTAACCCAATTTTCAAAGTATTGATAGAATCGATATGCATGAACATGCATATCGGGTATTTTGAGTGGGGCATATTGTATCGATACTTTGAACCTTAGTTTTTACTTTCATATTTTCAGAAGGGGACAGTAATAATGTTATTTAACATTCAAAAATATGAGTTTTTGGAAAAGCATTAAAAATATTGTATTGATACTTTGAACCTTTCTCTAACCATGGACATCTTAATGTGGTGTGATATAGAGATGCTGAATGTGTTGGTTCCATTGATGATAGAACATAGAAGATCTACTTGAACAAAAAAACTGTTTATTTTATTTTACTTTTACTTTCATATTTTCACAATGGGATGGTAATAATGTTATTTGACATTTAAAGATACAAGTTTTTGGAAAAGCATTAAAAGGGCTTATTGGTGATCTGTTGGAATGATAAGATACACACAATGTGGCATATTGTATCAATACATTGAACCTTCTCTAACCATCAGCGTCTTAATGAGGCATATAGAGATGCTGAATAGGTTGGTTCCATTGATGATAGAAGATCTACTTCAGCTTATTGGGCCTTTGTTGGAGGTACTTCAGTGTCATGGAAAAGTAAGAAATAATAGGTTGTCGGTTGATCCAGTGTAAAGACTGAATATCAAGCAATGGCACATTATGTATTTGAGTTGTTGTTGTTGGAAGACTTGTTGATTGAGCTTGGAGTAAAGCTTGATACACTCTTGAAGTTATATTTTGAAAATCGGTCTGCTATAATTATAGCTAACAATTCGGTTCAACATGATCTTACTAAGCATATAGAAGTGAATAGACACTTATAGAGAATGAGTCACTATTGGAGAGATTTGTTTGTCCTTTGTGAAGTTTGAAGAACAATTAGCTGATTGCCTCACCAAAGGTGCACCTCGACCAAATTTAGAAGATAATTGGCGAAATTGGGCATGATAGACATCTATGCTCAGTTCGAGGGGGAATGTTGAGATATTGATGGGTGGCTAATGGGGGGTATTTCAGTCATTGTAATTAGTTTTAAATCTCTAATATAAATACTAATTATTGGGGTGTTAGATCCAAGTTAGATTCTCTCCCCTTTTTTCTAAATTTTCTCTATTATTCTCTTCTTCATTATTCTTCATTCTGTTTGATCACTATCTTATTAATACTGTAACATCACAACTATTTTTACTGATGTGGTGTGAACAAAAATAAAGAAAATGCAAGGACCCATATTGCTGAAATTCCCCCTTATTGGTTTCATTGTTGGTATGCTAAATGTCATTTTCTGGGTATTTGACAGGGAAGAGTCGAGGACATTTATAAAAGAAAGCATGGGCTAATTAGGATGGTGGGTTAGTTATGATCTCTCAATTGCATGTACAGATGTCTGAATGATATATTAGCTTATTTTGCTAAATAAATGTCACTGTAGATGGTCGAGTTAAGCGTAGCTAATTCTTACAAGTTACAATAACCCAGTGTAGAGGAAAACGTGAAACAACTTTTTGTAGCCAGGTATTTTCATTGGCAATGCCTTCCATTTAGTTTAGGAACATGTTAGCATGATTCTTGTGATAGGATCGCATGCTTGGCTGCCTAGTGACTTGTGTTAACACCTTTGGTATATGGAGAAATTCTTTAGAACACTAGAGTGATTATTTGTTATATTGGAATGACTTATTGACATATGTTACAACTTATAGATGAGATTGCTATACATTTTCATAGAATACATTACACATATTTGCATAACTCATTACTTCTTTCACCATGCTTATTCAAATAATTGGACTTTTCTGCCAATCACCATTTTGGCAAGGCATTTAGATTTTAATAAAAAAGGACCTTCCTACGATATTGCGCAATAGCCCATATGGGAAAGATATTTCTGTACTGTGCATATTGTAATGTACAATTCCTCATGAAGACTCCTGTAATTTCCTGTGTAGATAATCAAATGCCAAATACTGTCAAAGATAAAAAAATTGGTGGAAATGAAGATATATAAAATTCATTTAGCACAATCATTAATAAGTTGGTAGAGATTAATGATTTTTAAGGATATTTGAAGAATCATAGTTTTGTTTGTTTTGCTTGTCCTCTTTCTTTTTATTCTTTTAGATAGAGAGAAGGAATAGAATAAATAAATAATGCTCCAAGTGGTGCTTTTTTACTTGAATTCCTTTTGGATTTTTTTTTTGTTTTTGTTTTTGTAGATGAAATATTGAGAGCCAAATTTGAGAAGGAGCAACAAGAAACATTGGGATTACTTAGCTTTACTAATCCCCTTCTAACCTTTTTATGAATCTTTGTTATTGTGTGGTTATTTGTAGAAACCTTCATGGGAGTCATTAAACATGATAAGATAGGTTACATGTCAAACATACCTGTTGGGGGAAATCACCATTTTCCATTTGTGTATTAATCAAAACTCTCATTCCACGATGTAAAGGTGTTGGGTCAATCTCAGCCTGGACCCAGAGAAACAATCAGGAATCATGGTATTATTAGTTTGGAACTTGTCTTGACATCCAAAGACGGTCATGAGGACAACACAACACACACACAGACAAGAGATTAATTTCGGGCAATCAATACTAAATAAATGCAAGACATGATGATGATGACAATAATTGTCATAGCAATGAGATCTATGATGCCTGGATGAAGATATTTACAAGGACATTTAATATGCAAAATGGGGATTCAATTTTCCATTTTCAATGATCAGGGACACAGATACGACTATACGAGTATAGCTGTTCTATTTAATAAGTTTTTTGTCTGTCTTTTTGTATCTAGCTGTTGAGACTAAAGTCATTCTCAATACTTATATATCTTGCTAATTCAATTTAACTTGCCAATATAGGTGGAGTTATCCCATTTAATATGTTTATGTCTTGCTTTTGTAAGTATTTTTTAGAGCAGCAGGCCTGAAATTACAACAGCTTCTTCCACAGAAGCCAAGGAAGAAGAGGTAAAGAGAAGCTCTTACAATTCAAAATCATCTCTCCTTACTCCATTTCTTGCCAATGAGTCAGCCAGCATGTTCGCACTTCTAGGGACCCAGTTGAATTAGGTATTCAAAGAGGCACCTAGTTAGTGTGTCATTTTTACCATATGTATTGGGTTTGGACATATACAGGTATTACGGTAACATAGAATGGGAGTAATGAAGTAACAGTAATAAAATATTTGATGCTAGAAGATATAGAATGTTTATGAGTAATTATATGTTGGAAACTAAATAAGACAGACTAACGGACCTGCCCAGCATCAATAAGTGATAACATGGCCCATGCAGTTTGTACCAGATTAGAACGATTGCCCTCTATATTTGTATATACCTGTTTCAAGAAACATTGATATATTCCATAAGAAATAAATAGGAAAAGAAATCAAAAGCTAAGGTTGTTTACTTGAACATTTGATTGCAGAATACTCTCCTTTTTGTGAAGATAATATGTTTGCATAGGAGCTACAGAAAAGTTTATTTTGGTAGTTATTTTCTCTCCAGCAGTTCTGTCTTTGCTTTACCAGTGGCTATAAAGCAAAAATCAGATGGGTGACTGGTTTTTAGGTTATGAGACCTAACCAGAATATCTGAGCTAGTATTAAAAGTTACCTTGTTCGTGGCTGAAAGATAACTTTCTCCCCAACCACCAGAGGGCAATTGTTTGGATAGCAAAAATGCACAGGCTTTCTGAATATGAGGGCTATTGTAGTAGTTCTTACCACAAGCCACCAAGGCCTCTACTGCAAACCATGTGCCATAGGTGAAGCAGATTCCCCAACATCCATACCTATAAATATAGTACTTCCATGTAAATCTTGATGTCTTATTTTTTTGATAGATAAATAAAACATAATGTTGACTAAAAGAGTCAATTACAACATAGTTCACCAAAAATCCAGAGGATTATCTATCTGCACAACCTCTGAATCAAAAGATTTTGCTTTATGGGCCAAAACATGAGCGGCCCTATTAAGATCCCTATTTAGAAAGGAAAAATCAACTTGGTTCATACTTTTATAGACGGATGAAATAACATCTCTGAACTAAAGACATGACCAACTCATAGAAGAATTAGGATTAATAAGAGCATTTATGACTTGTAAGGAGTCTGACTGAATAGTAATACTGGTAAAGTTCTGACTTCTAGCAAACAAAATAGCAACCGGAACATCTCCTCGCAACTCCACCTCAAAGACTCCCTGATGCCCACTTTTAAGATTATATAAATTAGGGAAAAGTATGCTGTCGATTACTTGATAGGTTTCATCCTCATGAGAAAGGGAGGGATATATGATTGTCAGCCATTCATAGTGATGCAGGTATAGGTATAGCTTAAAGCATGTATTGTTCAGGAGATATGGCCCCATCATTTGAAAATGTGTTTTGGCTTTATGTGTGTTTGTTTGATTTTAGAAAAGGTAAATGAAAGCATGCATGTTTTGATGAGAAGACCTGAACTGATAAGGTCCTAAACTCCTAATTTGTTGGGGTCAATTTGTATAAATGATGAAGCATTATGTTGAAGCTCAAATCCTTCTCATGTCTTTTCACTTTGTACAGCTTTTGGATGTTCAAAAATTGACAAGAAACTAACGAATATCATTTCAGTGATAACATTATATGAGGTCAGCAGTAACTGATGGGAGATAAGGAAGAAACAAGTTATAGAAAATGCACATTGGAACTGAATTTAGAACCAAATAAAATTTGTTTTACTATATGGTGGTTTTATAAAACCTAGTAATAGCAATTGGTGGGAGTAAGCAAAAAGTGGAACCAAATTGATTGTTGTAGATTTCTACCACTATGTTTTAATTTCTGTAGAATACAACCACATTAGAAAATGGCAAATTAAAAGAGAAAAATTTAACTTCTTTTTTTTTTATCAGCTAACTTAAATTCTTAGTTCTAGCATATCTAATAAGTGAAATATACCATGAACCATCGGACTTCTGTGTCTTCTCAATGTAATCTATTGCTCTTGAGATGCAATGCTCTATTTCTTTCTTCCGATATTCAGGATGTAATTTTTTAAATAGTGCCAAAGCCTGAATCACTGATGAAGTGCATTCCACATACCTGGTATAGAAAAGTTGTTGGTTTTAGGGAGAGTATTCAGTGTATTATATGGTCTCAGGGAGCATATAATATAGACAAGGCTTGTGGCGGAAACTAGATATGATTCGGAAATCTTACTCTGTCTCAATAAGAGTATCTTCAAAAAATTCTGTAGGATTGAACAACTGGAAGGAAGAGATCGAAATTCCATAAATAAATGAGTAAACAAATTGATCATCTACTTTTGTATATTGTAGCTGATAATGATGTTTTGACTTACATCTGTACTTTTGTATATGTTACACAATATGAAATACTAATATGTATGCATATATTTTGAAGTTATGTCTACTTATTGGTCATTGTACTTAATGCATTAATAATCTGTTAGCAGATACCTGTCTGTTGGATTCATGCTGTAGAATGGTCCATGCCACTTAAATGCTGGGGACTGTTTTGATCTGCTCTATACTTTAATTGATTCTTTTGCTACTTTTTTCTTAGCCATTGTTTTGTTGAAGAAGAAAAGAATAAACTCAAAGAAATGCAAGAAAGGGTTTTGGCAATACAGTCCCAGTTAGTTCTTAATCATAGACAACTTGATCCATATAGATGCTGCTTGGTTCCTAATCGGGTCAAGTAGGAGAATTCCCTAAACAACCCTACCTATTTCTGCCACATGGAGGAATTAATGTAGCCCAAAATTTTAATTTTTTTTTTGATCTAAAAGTTGCCCATAAAAAAGGATTTATTTTGACAACTTTGGCAAACAGTTTTGGCCCATAAAAAAGGCATATTAGCAAGGATGCAATTCTAATTTGTTGATTGGTCGGGTTATCAATTGACAGAATCATCTAGCTAGGGTTTGCAGAGTTTGGATCTCCTGCACTTCAAGTCGATGTGTGACAGGTGTCCCATTACATGTTAGTCTTGATATGCTGCACTTGTCATGCACTACCATTCAGTCTGTTATTGGTGTCCCATTACATATGTTTTCTCATATGTTTGGTTATTTTGCACACTTGTAATTGAACACCTTTTATAGATTGAATGGAAGTGTTCAATAAGCATAGCAAAAAAAAAAGTACAGATCTTGACTCGAGTAAATATCCATATGCACGAGTATACATGTAATGGGGCACAATTCACAGATTGAATGGAAGTGCAGGAGATATGGACTCGGGTTTATAGCGGTATAGCCATACCATTAATGAAACCTTTGTTGTCTACAAAAAAAGGATGGCTTTGAAAACCCATTTTGATTCACTATCTTATAAATATCAGTCTTTTAGAACCTTTGGATACGATAGTTTATATGATAAATGTTTGCAAATTGTGTTCACTAGTGACACTGACAAAGAAGTTACCTCTAACCATCGAAATGCCCGTTGTGGCTCCCATGCTGGGAAACCTCCATTACTACTCTGCATACATACATAAAAGGAACTTATCAGTGGTAGAATAGTATTTTAAATAACTAGAAGAATAAAATGTCAAAGTAAGGAATGATATTTGGGTTGTATTTAATTTCATTGATTTGTTTCTTTTGGTTATATAGATTTTTATTAGAGTAATTCAAATTTATGTTGCAGTTTTGTGTCATAGTTTATGAGTTAACGAGGAATCAGTTTTCTGAAACTTTGGAATGGTCACTGTGTCTCATTGCTAGGTCATTATAAGCTTTTAGGAGAGAGAACTGGGTTTTTGATTTGTTTAATTGATCCTCAACAAGTAAATTGATAGGTTTAACAAATGGAGGTCTTCTGGATTTCAACCTTACATCATGTTGAAAATTGATTTCAGGAAAATGCAAAGCTAGAGTCTAGAGATACAATTATATCAATTATTAGAAAAATTGTAAAATGGCAGTGAAAGTACTGTTGGTTCTGGTTATGGTCCTAGTGAAGATACAACAAGTGATGACAGGATTAAAGAAAGTCTCCTACACATGAGAGAGTGAATTATTTCTAAAACACCTCTACAGGGTGATTGATTCCTTGTTAGTCTAATGATGTTTTGTTCCAGTTTAGAGTAAACTGCAGGCAGCCACCCTGTACTTGGGGTGTATGACAACACTTAGCCCTTCTTACCAAGGCAGCCTTCATATCTGACAAGTAAATCTTATTATCCTTGGAACTTTGCAAATGAAGAGAAAGAATTTTGAGAAGCACAAATTATTTCTTGTAACATCTTGAAAAAAGTAACAACATGAGTTTATATTTCATGCTTTATGAATATAATTCAGTATTTATTATCATAATTGATTGTCTGGTAACAAATAAATCTACATCCATGTGGTTGTAGGAATATATTGTTTTAGTACTTACTTGTAGAGAAAGAATTACGTCTACAGCATCATACATTCGTTCTATTTCCAGTTGCTCCCCAACAATTTCTGATGAAATTTGAGAGAACAAAAGACAAACCTACAAAAGGAAAAATATGTATTAAATTATGAAAATGTAGTTAAAATATTTAGTGCAACTACACATTGTTGAAATTTCCTTTCACATGTATGGACTCTTTGACCCCTCGTTCAAGGAGTGGCATTGTCTACTAGATACTTCATAACCATTTTAAAGTACAACTTTGGGCATTACCTTCAGTCCTTCTGATGTACAATCTGATACCTGCCATCCATGATCTGCAGTTGAGAATGTCCATCCACCCTTAGAAATATGACGGTACATTTTACTGAAATCACCAGAAGGGTTTTCTTTGACCTTCAGAAAATTGTATATAGGAAAGTTAGTAGATGAACTTACAGGTAATTGTAACTAGAAGTTATGATATAAAGTATGGCACCTGTGAACTTTTTACGAAGTCATGTGCCTTTCGCAGGGTAGGGCTGAATTCTTCAATAAGGTTACTTGACAAAATTGCTTGAATAGCAAAACCAGCATCCCACATTTGACATCCAAAACTCTGAATGAAATTATGGTTGACATTAATCAGGAATACTTTCTAAGAAATGTTTGTTGAACTAAAATATGATATTTGTGCCTACTTGTTTGTATTGATCAAATTATCACAAGTTATTTTCCAATTGTTTAAATTAAGTTTTTCTTTTAGAAGATTGGTCTAAAGCTTCACCATTGGGAAGTGAATGCTTTTGAGTAATTGCTGGAAACTGGGTAGAGAAGCTTTATACAGATTGTAGATCTCTGTGTTTTTGAAGGTTGCAGATTCCTCTTTAATTTGTTGAGTCACGGGAGTTGAATGCAATGTACATGGATTTAGGTTAGATTACTTTTGGGGTTTGGAATGGATTAATGTATTTTACTTGTAAACCCTCCACTATTTTATTTCAATATCCAATTCGACTATGAAATAAATACAACACAAATAAAAGACCCTTAGAAGTAATAGAAGCGTCACATGATCTTATTAACCTGCATTTTGATGCCATCTTCAGCAACCCATAGGTAATCTGGGATTCTAGCGAGATGGAGCTTGTATGCCTCTGAATTTGGATCCTCCACCCAGCAGGCAAGTAAACATATAACCTGTAATGCAACCAATCATGAGGATGAAGTTTTACAAAAAATGAATGGTGCAACTTGGTGTTTGATGTTCATTTTGTTTGTCAAAGAGAAGTCTAGATTCATGGGAAGGGGTACAAATACAAATACGTGGAGTGCAAGACTTTACATTTTGTGTTATTTTGTATGTATTTGTATTATACATATTTGGATTTGTAATCCTTCCAATTGTACAAATACAAATAATCAAATATGTATGGTGCAAAACAAGGTTTAGAAATACAAAATACATGTTTATGCACTGTACATATTTGTATTTGTACTCTTTCCAAACTGAGCTTGAGTGTTCCACCAACTTTGAAGAGCTGGCCTAGCAAGTGTGAGAAGGGAGTATCAAGTCTAAGAGTGGCCTATTTACTCAAAAAAATAAAAAAAGTCAAAGATTGGTCACTTCATAAAAGAAAATGCTTGAGGTTAGGACTGTGTCCAGTCCATCCCTCCCAAGATTGGATCAGTTTGATCTGCTGTTTACCTATTAGCAGGTTCCATTACTGGATCTCTAGGAGCACGCCATTGAGTGTGCCAGTAATGACTACCATATTTACATGCTTGAAGGTGCATTAATGGATCAAGATCATAGGTAATTTAGAAGATCTTGAATGTACTTACTACTTTGATCCAGCAATGAATCGTGTTAGGGCAAACCTGCACCCACACCGTTCAAACAGCCTTTTGCAACCTTGCATTAGGAATATCACTCCATAAAATAAAGCACATAAGTATTGAGATATTCTCAATGCAAGGCAGTAAAGGCTGCTCCACCAGTAAAGGCAGTCAGGACCAATATTGGGTAGGGTAATGGCCAGTTTTTAACCAATTTGGAACTATTACTCAAATTAGTTACCACAGAATTTACCTTTTCTACACATCCAATGGTATAGTATCTGCTGTTTTTGTCTTCATAGTGGACATGCTCCATTGCTACTTTTAGAGCCTTCTCTCTTAGCATGGAAAAGGGCCAACGTGTCAGAATAGGCTCGCCAACTTTGTAAAGGAATGCCCACAACATATCCTGCACTAGGGGATGTGGGTAGTAGAGATCCTCCTGAATGACAATCAATTGGAAACATCCATCATAAAATGAATAAAACGAAAATAAGATTTGATGTAGGCATTGATAAGCAGCTTGCAGAAGGAAGGCATATTAATTAAATGGATTTAACCACAACTCTGGATCTCCTACCCACAAGAACCCTAACCACAAATCCTGTATTTACAATGTTAAATCATTCATGGTGAGATATTCTCAATGTACAGCTGCAGTGTCTTGTGGGTAAGTGTGGGTAGAGTTCTTATGGGTAGGAGATCCGGATTGATGTAACCAACCTTTGCGACTGTATTACGAGCTTTATTCCAGTCAATCTCGTGATAAGGTTTGGTGTAGAGCTCTTGTCTCAGCGACAGTACCAAACTTGTTATTGGACCAACGAACTTCTTGCCATACAAGTATGACATGGGCATGTAAACCAAACGGCAGTAGCACAACATTTTGCCTGCATTACACATAAAGGTCCAAGTAATGAATTCAACCATATGTTTGTCTAATGGTTCCATTTCTGGTCTCTCTGTAACCATGAATTTTTAGAGGGTGTGTGTGTGTAACCTCCACAGTGTTTTTAACGACTGCAATTCCGAGTCTTTCAACATTTTGATTGTATGATTGTGAAATGGAATCAGAACTACAGGATGCATGGGTTGAAACCTGGATGAATGGGAAAGCATTTAGGGAGAAGCCAAAATTCTGGGGGCGTTGGGTTGAAACCTGCCCACTCGTACACTCCGAGTACCTACACCAAAATTGAGTTCACTGGATTGTTAATATTGGTTAGTCCTAATAGGACTTGTATGGTTACAAAATGTTTTCAGACTTGGAACCAGACAACTGTTTTTGTCACTGGGTAATGAGTCAAATGGTTCAACCATACGGTTGGACTAATTGACTAAAAAAAATGCAAAAAAAGGGATAAAAAATAAATAAATAAAGATATCATATTGAATATGGACTAACAAATACTTCCGGATCATCTTTCATAGTATATATCAAAATAGGCTTAAAACAATGAATATTATAAGTTTAATTTAAACAAGTATTAAATCATATTGACCAAGTCAACAATTTTAACAATTGAAGCAGCTTAAAAACGAGTTCGGAACATCTCCATAATTGTAAATTTTTATTCATAGTGAGATGTTCCAGATGCCCAATTTAAACGTGCTGTGAGGTCAGGCCCTCTCTGTGAGGAGCAGACTGAACTCCTTCAAAACTGTTTTGGCTACTGGTTCCCAATGTCGGACCGTTCTACAACACTGAGTTACACTAATTAAGTATGTTTTATTGTTTATATAATTAGCCACCATTCATCTCCTGATTTGAATCTACAGAGATTCCTGAATTATGTAGAACTGAAGATCAAGGGAGAAGCAATTCAAGGGATGTACTAGTTATATTCCATATTGTTAGTAACTCAAATTACCAAAATCGATATATCCCAAATCTGTTACATAATAATAATAATAATAATAATAATAATAATAATAATAATAATAATAATAATAATAATTCAATGGGTGTGTTTATTTCGATATAACAGATAAAGGAGATCAATCAACCCCCACAACGTCCCACAGAACATCCCTGCAGTGTATTGAGAACATCTCCCAATGATAATATAAAAAATAATGATGTCATCATTGGGAGATGATTCCGGCAGGGATGTACTGTAGGACATTGTGGGAGGCTGATTTAAACTCCAGATTAAAATGCATTGTCAGTGGTGATACCGTGACCCAGAACTTTCCCCAAGATGGTATTCCTACTGCTCCGCCATGATCAAGTATCCATTTTCGGACTCTGGCCATTCCCATGTCTTCACCATCATCTGGCCCTTCTCCAAGTAACCTCAAGGCAATGTAGCTGACTACTGAGCTAAACATGGTGCTATGACCCTCTACATGTAGTCCCCAACCACCATCTTTGTTCTGCAATGTATATTATTCATGGTTAGCACAACAATTGAACACTTCATTGTTGAATTTCGTTTCTTCCTATATATAAAAACACAATGTAGACAACTCAGTATATTGGAAGAACCTGCCTTACCTGAGTATTGTATAAATATCGACGAATCTCTTTCTGATGTTCTGGTGATAAAACAGTGTTAAGAGCCCCTGTAATATATAAAGCGATGACCTGCACGTTGAAACATTGAGAACCATTGATTAACCCATGTCACAAAAGGTTATTGGAAACAAATTTCTGATTCAAATAATTGGCTTCTACTTTCTACAAAGTTTGTGCCTGTTTGGCAAAGCTGAGCTGAACATTGAGCTAAGTTGGTTCAACTAGGACTGATCACAGTTCGATTAACCGAATCATGGGGCATTTTTTGTAATCGAATTGGTAGTACCGGTTTTTGGAAAACCGGTAACCAAAACCAAACCAAAACCAATCGGTTAACTGATTGATAAATTCGGTTAACCATTAATTTTTCGGTTTTTTAATTTTTATAGTATATTATAAAAGTATATATAAAATACATAGAAATATATGTATACCGGTCTGTTTGGTTAACCGACGGTTTTCTATATTGGTTAACTGAAACTGAACTGATACCTTCAGTTTTCCAAACACACCGAACTGAAACCGAACCAACCAATTTGGTTAACCGATTTTTTAGTTCGATTTCAGTCGATTCGATTTTTCAGTTTTTTTTTGCTCACCCCTAAGTTCTGCTGCTTTGAGGCACTCTGGGATAAGCAATCTAAAGAAGGAAGTAGATAACCAAATAAAAAACAAAAAAAAAATAGACTGATTAACAGCCAATTTGGGCTGTCAAGATTTTTTTAACAAACATAGCTTAAAGGCTGTCTGTATACCGTATAGGGCCTACCTTGGAAAGCCCTCCCAAATAGGCATTTTTTATCCGACAATCGATACTAGACCATATATGTGTATTCCCTGTCTCCAAATTGGTTAATATTGTTTCTTTTGAAGAATGTTTAGTGACTTAATATTTACTTGTAGTTTTTGCTTTTGGCTTTTCATTGTAAGGGTTAGGGTTGATTTTGTAAGGGAGATCCATTTGTATCTTGGGCTTAGGGCGACGTGGGCTACGTCTATCCCTGTAATCTTTTTTTTTTTTTTTTTCCTTTGATACTGGTTAATAAAAGTTTAAGATAAGAACCCTTCCACTTGGAGTAAAATTTGGGGATTTGAAAAAAACGAAAAGAAAAAAATTGTTACTAGACCATGAACATAAACCTGGCTAAAGTATGCCCATTTCAGTACTTGAGCTAAGCTCTAGTCCAGCTGAGACTAGACTCTCATAGACCAAGCAAAGTCCAGGATGGACCTTGGGTTTTAGGGTTGGACAAGCCTGATACCAGCCTGTTGTCTTCTGGAGCCACCCAAACCCGTTGATTCATCTACTTCCATGTGAATTGCTAGCTCGGCCCAAGTCCGAATGTCTAAGTAGATAAAATGTTCTGCCAATAATTCTATATTATCATAAACAAACTATGTTGATATGCTGAAAAATGTGAGAATCAAAAGATTTCACTTATTGATTAATATACTCACCAAGGGAGGAAGGAAAAAGATGGGTCCTGCAATTTCTCCTGGCCAGTGCCCATCATGCGCCTGAATGCTGGAATAGAAGCTAATAGCCCTCCTTAATGTGGTTGTGACAGCCTCCTCCGTTATTTCCTCATTGTCTTTCACTTTAACTGGGGGTAGGTTCAGTTTATTTGGATTCTCTTTCGTAAGCTGCAATTTGGAATATCAGATAGATCAGTAAGATACCATTGACGGCTGTGAAGTGAGATGGGATCTACTGAAAGCAAAAATCCCTGAGAGTACGGCTTCTGGTGTAAATGGATCAAATTCGAATTGGATCGGGTAATATCTGAATTCGAATCCGATTTAAAAATTCGATATCTGAATTTGATTTGACGGATATTGAAAATTAATATTTGAATTCAAATCTGATTAAATATTCAAATATTCGGCTCGATTTGAATTCGACTAATTAATTATTTTTGGTAATTAATAAATATATAAAATAAATATTTTATTTATATAAAGTATATAAATATATAAATTATTTATATAATTTAATTATTATAACTATATAAATTATATAAAACATTTAAAAATTTTATGTATTATATATAAGAATTAAATAATCAGTTGAATTTGGATATTTATTGAATCGAATCAGGTCATATCCGAATTTGATTCGATTATGTCAAATTTGGAATTCAAAATTGGATTTTCAAATACCGTTGATACCCCTATGTGCGACTGGATTAATGCATTTGGATGCTTTTTGCTTTCAACAGATCTAGGCCGAGATCACATTGGCACCCCATAGAACATGCCCCACAAGCGCCCCACAATACATCTCAACCGTGTATTGAAAACATCTCTCAATGATAAGTACGAGAAATGTCCCTAATACATGTTGAAATGTACTGTGGGGCGCTGATGTGACTCATCCGTGCCCTGATGAGTCAGCATTTGGTAGGTATTTGTAAGAGATCTATGCTAATGTTCTTTCTTTTCTTTTCTTTTTATTCTTTTTGGGCTAAATCTGGTGCAAGTAGAACTGAATAGTAGTTAAAGTGCCTGATATATGTACAAAATTGACATCAATGCTGTTTATGTACTCTGGTTGATGGATATGCAATGGAAATTTAAGAACGAATGAAGAAAGACGTGATATTCTAACCACGGTTGCATACAAGTGTGGAACGCCAGACTCAGATCAGACCATTAAGAGAGGCGATATTCTTAGCTTGGTTGCTACCCGCGGTTGTGATGGTGAAGTTGTTGACTGGTTTGTGGTCCTAAGTCCCTTTTAGTTGACGATTTTAGAGTCTTTGGTAGTAGTTGATACCGGATTCAGTCCTCACAAAACTGTTTTTATACCATCCTCACAGGCTATGTTTTTATTCATAAGAAGATATTCTCAATACACGGCTGTAAATACGGTATGAGAATGGTTCTATAAAGACTTAATCCGATTTCGTAGTAGTTAATGTCTTGTTTAGGGGTGGTTTTCTTTCTTTGCTTTCTTTCCTTTCTTTGTTGTCCTTTTGGAATATTGTTGGTTGTTCTTGTTAGTTTGCTTAGTGAATATGCTCTACCAAAAAATAAAAAGATCAGCCCATTAAAAATTAACCAAAAGACATAAATGCCCATACCAAGGGCCTGTTTGGTGTATCTTTTCGGGAAGATCTGATAGATTTGATAGTCAAAAGACGCATTGAACTTTTGCATGGAGATCTAACTAGCCGAAAGCATGTTTGGTAGATACATGATTTTCCGTGCATCTTTCTGTGTCTTTTCGTGCGAGAATAAAATGCGAAAAGACACGAAAAGCTTCATTTAGAACTTTCCGGAATCAGCCCAAAATAGGCTTTTCACATCTTTTCAGCACTCTAGCTTTCGACAATTAGATCTTCCACGAATCAAACAGAAACATACCAAAAATCGATTTACCCAACTTATAAACAGCCAAAAGACCACCAGAAAAATGTGCCAAACAGGTCCCAAATTGAGCAACCTTAGCTCAGATCTGATAAAGCTAAGATTTTAAGTGAGGATCCAGTAACTAACATCTACCTAATGTAGCTACATGACTAGAGTGACGTTCAATTTCATAAACCATATCAGCCATATGGGGTTTGGTTTTCCTAACTAACATTAACTATTCAAAAGTTGTATATATATATATATATATATATATATATATATATATATATATATATATAAATTGGATTTATTATGCACACATGGCAAAAGTGTTTTAGCTAGGCTTAATTTTTCTACGGGTAAAGGGTGGGGATGAAAGATCAAAAATCAAAATTTGTTTGAACAATCCATAGTTGAGAGTAATTATTAGAACTTTTAGCCTTTTAGAGATTGGAGTTCAATTTGAGTGATTTCAATTTGAGTGATTTCTGAAATTTGGTTTGAGGGGATAAAGTTTAATAGAGGGGCATTATGGTAATATTACAAAAGTTATTTATTTTCTAATATGACAAATGAATGTTTGACAAAAGTATCTCTAGAGGTATCGAAGGCCAAAGAAAATATAAGAGAGTTAGAAAAGTAAAGGGGCGGCTTAGATAATTAATCGTTAATTTTGCAAAATCAAAGTTGAGATTGCATCTACTACCCACACCTTCTGATAGATTCGTAATTGATAGTCCGGATCTCCTGTCCATGAAAATTCTGTTCAGGTTTATCGGAGCCATACATGGAGAACATTTCATCATCTGCATAGTATTATGCAGGGGGAGATGTTCCCAATTCATGGGGGGTAGTATATTGTGGGTAGGCGTGGGTAGGTGATCCAAACTCTGATTATATAGCCCAATCTCCACATATTAAGGTTGCATTTGGCATTTCTTTTTATCTTCTTTTATTCTTAAAAACTCAGTTCTCACAAAAGGTATTTTAACTGCAAAAAGAAAATAAATCCTTAAAATAGAAAAATGCCAAATGCAGCCTTAAGATAGATCCTTGCAGATTTATGGTTCTATTAATTTTCTAAATATAATATTGAAGTCCTCTTGATTGCTCTAATAGATCTTTGCAGATTTCTACCTTGACTCAATATTCAGATGAATATGGTAATGGTTTCGTTCTTAGATATAAATATGAAGTTTCATTTGGTTTTTCTTGATTTATTGGAGAAAGGAATGGATAAATTTTATACTTTAAGATTAAAAGAGACATTTATGTCAGTGAAACGAAACAAAAATTTAAAGAAACTTGTTTTTCTATATCAATAAAATGTTTGTTGTTATTTTAGCCGATTTTCTCTAGTGAAAATGGAGGTATTTTGAGGTCAATTAGGGTTTAAGAGAAAAGGGAAAGGAAAGGAAAATGAGGAAATTTTGGGTGGGTATTTTGATAATTTATGTATTCCATGTTTGACTTAAAAGCCAAGGATGTATTTGTCACCAACCCTTAGTGCAAGGGGGTTTTTGTAATTTACCCAAATAAAAAAGGTGTTTCACATGATGTTTTGAATTCATTTCACCCATAGAGATGATGAACCTACCATCTCAATAGTCGATAGTTATGATAACTAATTGGATACTAGAATCATTAATACCAACGTGCCATATTTGTATAGGATGGTGATCTAGGTTTTATAGAGAAATTTATAGTTCAATTCATCTCATGAACTTTTATTAGTTTTTTTTTTTTTTTTTTGAGTTTTATTTACCAACACCTCCACCTATAATTCATTACCCCCTTGAATTTTGATTTATTCTCCCACCTGTCATTGTTCTAATTGTGTAAATTGTACTAAAATTGATGGGGTGGGCTTATCTTTTATTTCCTCCATCCAAATCACCAGTACATTCTTAATTGGTTTGGATGTTTGCCATTTCTTGGAGGCCTTCAAAATGTACGTGCAACAATTTGTTGGGTTCGATTTCTTCCCAAGTTCAGTTTAGGAGTACAGACACAAAATATGTAGAGTGCAAAACCTTCTACTCTGTATTATTTTGTACGTATTTGCACTGTATATATTTATATTTATATTCTTTACAAACTGATTCTTAAACTCAGTTTTGGAAGAGTATAAATACAAATATGTACAGTACAAATCATGGTTTTAAAAAATGACCCAGAAATGAAACTATTCTGGCAACCAATTTCAGGGTCCATGGTTCGACTATCCAATTTGAACGAACGGCTTGTTCTAACAACAAAAATTAAAAAAATAATTAAAAATAAAAAATAACCAAAAAAAGTTGAACGGATCAACGAGTCGATGGTTCGACTGCCTGAGTCAATGGGCCATTGACCAATTCAACAATTTTTGAATAAGGACCGGGTTTGGGGTAAAATGGAACTGGTGCTTAGGTGGTTCTCAGGCCGAACAGTCTAAATACAAATCTATTATGTATAAAATAATATAAAATATAAGGCTTTATACTATATATTTGTATTTGTACTCCTTCCAAATGAAGCCGTAGTTGTTAATTTTCTCCATATCAGGCGGCCTGAAAACAAATTAATTAGCACATATTGGCTTAGAGGCTAAACGTTTGGATTCAAATATTACATGGAGGCAGGGGTTTGGGATGTCTTAAGGGATCTAATAAATGCTTTATAAATAAACTAGTTCTTTACTAACTGATTGTGGCTCAATTGATAAAATCCCTTTGTTGGAATAGAGAGTTGGGATCAAATCCAGTTGCCACCAGAGTAACAAGGACAAGGGATTGAAAGGGATGACAAATGGGTTCGGATCTACCATTACCCACACTTACCCACAAGATACTGCAGCCGCATAATCAGGCTCTACTGATTATCCACGGATCCTTGAGCTAAGGTCTGGCCATGAACAATTTTGTTACTGACCCAACTGGAGTCAAATTGGATTGGCAATTTATTAAATTTTGAATGAACCGGGTCCTATGTGATTGCCGATCTGCTACCCGGTTACCTGTAGAAACCCGCAAGACACTACAGCCCTACATAAAAGCAGGGAAGCCAGAAAAAAAACCTTTGAAAAAAGGAAATTTTTAATTAAATACCGTTAATATGATTATTAGAAAAAAGATTTGAAGTAATAAAAAAAAAGAAAAAAACGTAATTGATTAAAATTTGTTTCGTCTTTTTAATTTCTAATTTCATAATTCTCGCTGCAAATTTTAGTTAATTGTTAGGGAAATTTTCTTCAATGTTGAGAAGGTGAAGAGTGGAGAGTGAGATTGAAGAGAGTTCATCAGGCTTGAATGATTAGTGTTCTTACCTGCATCCGCATTAGAAGATCGGAGTTCTGTTTCTGTCGAAACCTGTTCTTTCTGAATTCTTCTCGGACCCTTTCCACTTCAGCTCGCTCTTCTGGCGTTCCAGCTTCTGGGTCGAATTCCCAGTGCTGTCTACCGACGTGATTATTCACGGTCTTGAGCCATGGACCACCTTCAGCGATCTTAAGCTTCCACATTCTCTGCACCAATCAATCGCTCGATAGCTCCGGCAGTTCCTACAAATTAAGCAAGTTGCCAGGTGTTAGTTTCTTCTAGTCTACTAGCTAACAGTTCTGCGCTTGGAATTAAAACAGACAACCCAACCAGACTATAAATTTAACGATCAAGAATAATACTGGGTTGATTGGCCGGTTTTGTCAGTTGGGTGACCGTCTGTGTTTTTGTCAAGGAATCAATATTTCTATTGAACAATGAATGGGGAGGAAAAGAAGAATTGATGGGTGGAGTTAAGGATCGAGTAGAAGCATCACTGAAGCTTATCTTATCACAGGAATTTGTGAGTCACCTGGATAAACGCCTCGTTATATGAAATCGAGCTTATAATATGAAGAAGAAAGAAGAAGAAAGAGGAATAAACCAAAGCTAGAATTGAACACTCGGAGGGGAGGAGGGGAGAGTGCAAATTAATAGTTCAGTGCATGCTGTTTCTGGTCTCGTCCCACTTAAATAGAAAAGAGAGGAGAAGACGACAGCTTAGGTTCAGGTTTGAGCTTCCACCGGCCGGCTGATGCTGTGGAGGAGTTCGAGACTCTTGGGTCAGTGGTTATCTGGTTGATGAAATAATTGAATTTACTATACAAATGTAATTATTAATTGTAATTCAATTCGAATTCCAACTCGTTGAATGTGGGGGCAATCTAGTTTTGAGATCAAATCAACCCCTGATGACATCAGTTCATTTCTGATATTATCATACACAGTGGTTGATTTGAACTCATTTGACGGATTGCATGTTTGTAGCTTGTAAGTTTACATTATTGGTTAGATTACGATACCACAGTAAGAATGTAGAGGTGGTTTCGAGTTATTAATGTATTGTATTAAATATCAAAAAATAGTAGAGAAATTAATTACTAAAGGCACCAACTCTTATAAGTACAAGTAGGCACACCAACTCTTTGATGGATGGTTTTTGTTATGGGTCATCTCTCATTGATGCTGATTAATGACTTAAAGGGTGAAGGTCAATGGTGCAGCGTACGGGACCATGTTAAATTAACATATGATACAAATTTTCACAACTGTTAAATGCGGGTATTTATTAATTTTTTTTTCAAGGATTGGCTTGGGTTATTTTAAGTGACAGATGTCAAGAAAAATTCTAAGTATTCATTCCAGGTCAAAAGTCCAATCCATCGGATAATTATCATATGAAACATCAACATACAGCTCTTGCCTTTATACCGGCCGTTGATCCGGATTGTCAGACAGTTCAGCCCGGAAACCGTTCAGCTAATTGGTTCTATTTCACCCTTAACCTTGTCTTTGGCCCAAAACGTTGATTTGGTCAGTGATTCGTTGATCTAGGCGGTTGAATCGTTAGCATGCTCTACCTGTTCAACGATTTTAATTGTTTTTTTTTTTTAATTTTAGGCTTCATTTGGCTTGTCTTTTTGTGCGGTCTATTGGCTATTTACAAGCCCGGCAGACCGCGATTCAATCTTTTTCTGCTTGGTTTGCAGTAAATTTAACTGCCAAAGTTGATACACAGAAAATATGCGAGAAGCCCAAAACGGGCGATTTTCGGGAAACTCCAAATGGAGTTTTTGCATTTTTTCTCTATTCGTCTTCATGCAGAAAGACACACCTTAACCAAACAGGCTTCAGACTGCTCAGATCTTAATGCAAAAGTTCAATGTATCCTTTAACAGTTAAATCTACTAGAAAATCTTCCCAAAAAGACTTATCAAATGACCCCTTAATTATTTATGTATATATATTTATTTATTTATTTTGGAATGGGTCATCTGTTCAAATCAAAAAGTCAAACATGGACTGAGAAACCAGTGGCCACTGGCCAGAACAGTTGAGATTTGGGCCGTGGAATTATGATCTAAACTCCTTTGTATCGACTATTGAGTGGCTGAGGATTTCTCTTTTCATTGAACTTTCAAACTATATTAATTAGACCCCCAAATTATTAAAACCATCTGTTTTGTAAATAAATTGATTCTTAAAACCAGAATAGAAAAACATGTTCTTGTTTGCATGTGTCTTTTGTTTCGAAAACTGAAATCAAAAAAAGTTTTCTTGGATTTAAGCTTTGAAAAACAATATTCTTATTTGGTGATTTGTTATATCTTTAATAAATCATACAATATCACCACAAATAAGTTTGTATTGGTTAATGAAACCATCAAAATGATCGTATCATAAGCATAATTTTTCTTTTTTCTGAAACGAAAATGAGCAATTTCAGAACAGAAACAAAGTTTAATAACATGTTTTCATGCTGATGTTAGGTGGGTTTTGTCACAACCAGACCTGGATTAACCCCACAAAGCTGGGCACATTAGAGGCAAGTGAGATGGAGTGAAGAACAAGGAGCTTAGTCAGATTTGTGTGTGGTTGGTGTTGAAAGGATTTGAACACCCCAAGGGTCAGGGAAACTTGATCATCCATATTTGACTTGTTAGCTGAGCACACCTTCACCGACAAGGTATTGGCTGAGATTTAAGAAGATATTTTGACACAGTAGTTGTTTTGAAAAGTGATGAATCGCTCTCCTTTTTCTTTTGTTTTTATTTGCTCTTAATGTTGAATACTTAAAATTTTAAAATGGATTCTTCTTCATCTTCTTTGGCTGGATTTGATGTCTAAGTTGAAAAACTTGCAATTGGAAAACCAGGGAAACGACATAGCAGAAAAATTATCTCAGAAACCACCTAAAGCATGCATGGAGTACTGAAAATAATTTTAGGATAAATTGCTTAAGCCTCCCTGGAGTTTTTAGTTGTTACTGAAATTTTCCCTGAAGTTTGATAATTGTAATCACCTCCCCTGAGCTTTTTGACATAGTTGCAATTAGATCCCTTTTGTTAGAATCCTCTAAAAAGAGATATAAAATGTTCAAAATACCCATGCAGTTGCTTTTGACCAAAATGTTTATTAACGATTTTTTTTTTTCATATGATCGCTAGCACAAGCCCTTCCAATCTCTTTTCTGAATTTGATTTGTTTTTCAAATTTGTCCTCGATATCAAGTGCTCAAAGGCAAAGCTGGAACTTTAAATTCTTTATTTTTTTTGTTTATAAAATTTGTATTTTTTTTTTTTTGCAGAAACTAGCGTATTTGGACATTTTTGTGCCTCTTGTTAGAGGATTCCAACAAAGGGAGTCTATTTGTAATTGTGACAGAAAGTTCAGGGAGGTAATTGTAATTATCAAACTATAGGGGATGTTTCAGCAATGATCATAAACTTCAGGGGAGGTTTCAGAAATTTACCCATAATTTTATGTTTATTAATACTTATATAAATGTATACCACCAAAACAAAGGACATTGGTGATACCTCCCCTGAAGTTTCGGAATTGCAACCACATTCCCTGAACATTTTGAAACACTTGCAAGTAAACCCCTTCTGTTAGAATCTTCAAACAGAGACACAAGAATGTTCAAAATATCCATGCAGTTACTTTTTACCAAAATGTTTGTTTTCTAAATTGCCCTTCATATCAATGGCTACCCTGAACCCTTCTCATATCTTTTCTAAAATTGATTTATTTTTTAAACTTGCCTTTCATAGCAATGAAGTCCCAAACCCTTGCAATCTCTTTTAAAACCCTTGGGTGATGGCATTTTCATATTTGTCGTGTAACTTGAATTTGTATGCTACCCCAATAACATGAACGTTGATTTATAAATGAAATGAATGAAACACAAAAAAAAGAAAATAGTTAGTTTACAATTACTAACTTCCCAAAGCAGAAGAAATGCAATGTTTTAGGGTCTCCTAATGAAACACAAAAAATGTAATTTTAAGAGTAATTTTGTCATTTTGAAACATATAATTAATAACAGGGCCGTTTGGCAAATCTTTTTGGGAAGATCTTCTGGTATAGTCAAAAGACGCATTGAGCTTTTGCATGAAGATTTGAGCAGCACAAAGCTAGTTTGGCTACTGTGAGTCTTTTCATGCGTCTTTCTGTGTCTTCCTGTCTCTATTTGGAACTTCTTGAAATCAGCCCAAAATGGGCTTCTCACATCTTTTCGGTGCATCGACTTTTGGCGAATAGGTTTGTTACGGACCAAATGGAAAAAGACCACGGTGCGGTCTACCCGGCTTGTAAACTGCTAAAAGACCGTGCGAAAATACATGTCAAACAGGGCCAATATCAGCAAATTTTGTGAGCCCTTAAAATGACAACCTAATGAAAGGAGTCTACTTGCAACGATAATTGCCATTCTAAAACTTTAGAGGAGGTTTCAACAACTTTAAGCAATTTCAACAATTTACCCTAATTGATAAATATAAAAGAAGTACTATAGCTAAAAATACTTATGTTTCTTTAAAATGACATTCACCCACAGAAAATTGGTCGCAGGGTTGGATTACATATACGAAATTAATACAAAGTTGAGATGTTGTTGAAATAGATAGAACCAGAGGAATTGGGATCACCGGCCAACAAAACAAGTTTCAACACCCACCGAATTGATCTGACATTGCACATCTTATTATAAAATTGGGGCCCATCATAAAAATGGGACCTGACAATCATAAAAGTGAGACCTGCCATGAGATATGCGTTGTGAGATATTGTTATATTGTTGGTTGGGTGTTGGACCATCAGGTTTGCGTCGGCTAGGCTGGGCTAGGTGAATGCATTAACTTCTGTGTATCAAACACACAAAGCATGAGGCCACTATATTTCATCCCTCCAAAACAGGCGCTTAATCAGCTTTAAATTAAAGGATTGCTGATAACTATTCAAAGAGGCTGGAGCAGAATCCCTTTAAATGACTGGTTGACAGCTTGAGGTCTCCTGATTTTTCACCATTAACTGCTCTTCCGCTCTCCCAAACAGGTAATTATTGAGAATATCTAAATTAAGGTTCACAAAATCGACACGTATCAGTTTGTATCAGGAGTATCCCGATATGCTCCTATAGAGGATGTATTGGGGTTTTGACTGGTTCAGGCGGTGGAGGAACCTTAAACCGGATTTGAAAAAAGTTAAAAAAAAAGTACCAATACACCCCTACCGGTGTATTGGATATATCAATATTTAGAACCTTGATCCAAATGCTCATACTCAGTAAGGTTTACACAACGGGAGTAACCCATCGTATGAGATTCTTAAGTTGATCCAGGTCAATTAATGATCCATATTTTGACCCACAAGTGTAGACAAATTTTAGCATTTTTTGGAGGCAAAATATCATATTTCATTCAATTATAAAACTTATATAAATGTAGAGTAATGGTCAAAGTACTAAACAAGAAAATAAAGAAACATTATATGAAAACAGAAAAAAAAATTAACCGCGTGACATGTGACATTGCTTCTCCGCCAAGGATTTATTTTAAATTTTAATTTATTTGGACAATCGATCAAATGGAGAAGGTATGATTGGAAAAAAACATTATTTTTGTATAACATGTGAAGAATTCAAAATAGTACTTAAATCTCCCTTGAGGCTTTTTTATATCTTTATATCTATATTATATTCTAAAATGCAGTTGTTCACATCACATTAATTAATTTTTTATATTATACTTCAATCATTTTAGAATTTTAT